AGAGAGAGAGAGAGAGAGAGAGAGAGAGAGAGAGAGAGACAGAGAAAGAGAGAGAGAGACAAAGAGAGAGATTGAGATAAGCGGAGCGGACGGACGAACAGTTGATTAATCTAGCCGTGTTTCTGGCTCTGCGGGTCGGAAAATTCACAGAAGAGGACGTTGAGTGGTTGATCGAGGTGATCTGCTGGTCTCTTGTGGGATAGGTGGTGGATGGTGGATGGGGTTGGATGGGGTTGGATGGTGGTGGCGTTTGCTGGGCCTTCCAAAGTCGCACAAACGGAGGCGGAGGAGGCAAGGATATCCAGCGAGGGTGTGATGTGGAGAAGCTGAGTAACTGAGTAACTGAGTAACTGGGTAACTGGGTAATTGGGTAATTGGGTAATTGGGTAACTGGGTAACTGGGTAACTGGGTAACTGGGTAACTGGGTAACTGGGGAGGCAACTGGGTAGGCAGCTGGGTAGCTGGCTGGGTAGCTGGGTAACTGGCTGGCTGGCTGGCTGGCCGAGGATCAGTAGAGAGTAGAGCTGGCTGCAATTGAATCCGGATTCGAGGCGTTTGATAGCAGCAAGGCCCATAAGATGGGTGAGACCCAAGTCCCGTCGACCGAGACTTTGGTCTCCCGTTTCCCGAGAAGAGACGACCCTGGACCGAACGGTAGGTCAATCAATCGGTCGATCGGTAGATCGGTAGAGAGATAGATAGAAAGATAGAGAGATAGATGTGTCGGTCAGTAGGAGTGAGAGATGCTCACGCTGGCTGACTGCTGCTATCTATGCCCGTGGAGGAAGGGAATGCAGATGCAGATGCAGCTGCAGACACCAATTCAATGCGCGGGCTGCTGACTGTCGAGGTCCTGAGGCCAAATGAATGAGTGAGTTGGATGCTGTGTTTACCCCTCAGGTCAGCTTAGAGTCAGACGGACGAACGAACGAACGAACGAACGAACGAACGAACGGGTGTGTGAGACAGCCGCCGCTCTTACTACGAGGCGAGGGAGGGGAGTCCGGAAAGCGGCAGAAGTAGACAATCTCGACCCGGGCTTGTCTCTAAGAGGTAGCAAATAAGTAGTACCAGTACCTCCTCTCGTTTTCCGTTGCGTGTTCCAGTTGTAAGTCAAGCGTGTCAGTCGCTCGTTGCCGTCCTCGTCGTCCTCGTCCTCGTCGCCGTGGTGGTGTTGTGTGTTGTGTGCTAATGTTGGGCGAGAATGTTTAAGATCCCGAGGCGTGAGCGGGTCCAGCGTCCGGCGACCAATTGAATGACGTTTCTTGACCTGGGTCTTCGTTTGCAAAAGAGGGGGGAGAGAAGAGAAAGGAAAGAAGCAATGACAGAGGCGGACCCGTGAGGTTTTAAGAAATTATTGCTCCGATCGGTATTGATGGGGATAGGATGGGTTGGGGATGGGCTGGGCTGGGCTGGGCTGGGCTGGGATGGGATGGGATGGGCTGCCCATGCCATGTCATGCCTATAGTAGACGAAAAAGCAGCAGCCCGTCTATACTGTACGAACTCACAATTATATATGTATATGGATATTATATATATAATATATAATATAATATATATATATACACATAGATACATAGATACATACATACATACATACATACATACATACATACATACATACATACATACATACATATATACATAAACATATACATACATACATACATACATACATACATACATACATAAACATATACATAGATATATATCCTCGGTACGGAATACACAGACCAGATGGGTAGACAGACAGGACAGGACTGCAGCATCCTGAACGCAAATCATCTTCGGCAAGGCAAGCTGCAGGCAGACAAATGATAGGGCCGGGCCGGGCAGGGCAGGGCCGGGCAGGGCCGAACAGGGCAGCATAACTGGTCATGACTTGCAGGCCCGGGATGCAGCTTGCTGGCCGGGGGAGGCAGGTTAAGCTCGCTCGCTTTTGCTGTAGTTGCTGTTGTGATGATTATTGTTGTTGTTGTTATTGTTGTTGTTGTTGTTGTTTTTGTTGTTGCTGCTGCTGCCACTGCCGCTGCCGCTGCCGTTGCGGTTGTTGATATGTTGTGGCAAGTGAAGATGTGAGTATCTTATTTAAGCTTCTTGGTGTTGCAGTTGCCGTTGCAGTTGCCGCTGTGCTCGCTACGGTGAAGTCCTGCAGCTGGATGGCCGAACGTCTCTGGCCGAAGAGCCGAAGAGGGTGGGCCAGACACAGCGAAGCATAAGCATAAGCATAGCACAGCACAGCGCATATACCTAGCACAGCGTATTAAGCAGCGGGCAGCGGGCAGCAGCAGCAGCAGCAGCAGCAGCCTCCACCATCCACGCACCACCACCATAACCCATGGTAATAATTTGGAGTTGGATTGGAAGTCCGCGCTCCAGCAACTTCCAGCTTGTTGGGTCCCGGACTCCACCTCCAGGTCCAGGTCCAGGTCCAGGTCCCCCGGCCCGCTTGCTACGATCCCCGAAGAGCGATGGAGTGAGGGGAGGGGGGAGCGCCAGAGACATGAAGAAAACATGGTGGGAGACAGGGCCTGACGGGCATGGCGGGCGGGCATGCTTGCCTGGCATGCCACGACACCCACATCCGTCGAATGAGCCGGGCAGGCAGCAAGCAGGTTCCGGATGTATGAGCAAGGAAGAGAAGGGAAGGGGGAAGGGGGGGAGAGGAGAGGAGAGAGAGGAGAGAGAAAAGAGGAGAACAAGACAAGAGCCAATTTCGGGGACGGGTTCCTGGATGAGCTGCAGAGCGCAGAGCGCAGAGCGCAGAGCACAGCACAGCACAGCACAGCACATTCAATGTTTGCGCGTGTCCGGGATCGTGGGATGGATGATGGATAGGTGGTTGGATGTACTGTATGGGGGGTATGGAGCTTTGGGTGGATGGGATGTTTGGGATGTATTGGACGTGTTGGTGGTATTGGATGTATTGGACGTGTTGCTTGTATTGGATGAATCGGAAGTATTGGATGTCATGGATGGATTTTGGATATACTACCACTACCACTACTACTACCAACCACTCCACAATGCACAGACAAGACAAATTCGACGGGCAGATCCGATAGCTGAAGGTGGATCCCGATCCAGATAACCCCCAATGCCGAGAAGTCTCCGCACCACTCACCGCCAGGACTCGGGGTCAGAGAAAGGATATGCCATACTAGTATGGGTATATACCGAACTACTACGTAGTAGTAACTCTGTCATAAGACTTGAATCCCGATATGCTTTCACCAAGTTTGCTTATTAACTTGACCCTTGTGATGATTAATCATGGATTCAGAGAGAGAGGAAGAGAGGAA